TTCAATGAACGTTGCCAAAGACCCTACGGCAACATTCCGTGAACGTTGCCATAGGACACTTTCAGCAACGTTCAATTAACGTTGCCAAAAGTTGGAACTCTACGGCGACATCGAATCCTACAACGTGCACCCGAACGCTGCCAAAAGTCTATGGCAACGTTTTTCGCACGTTGCCATAAGCAGTTTTTGGTGTAGTGAAAGGTTGAAGGATTTGTTGGCACAACAAGGGATTGTGAAGGTGCTATTTGGGAAAAAGCCAGAGGCTACGTCGGTTGCTGATTGAGAAGAGCTCGAGGTGCGATCAATATATACAATTTGGCTCTTTTTGGCGAACAAGATCATGTATCACATCATGGACGTTGAGTCTCCAACGGAGGTTTGCCTAAAATTAGAAAGTTGTTACATGTCAAAGTCTCTCACGAACAAGTTGCATTTGAAACAGCTGTTCTACAGGCTCAAGATGCTAAATGGCACAGATCTGATTCAACACACCAACGTGTTCGATCAAATAATTTGAGATCTATTGCAATTTGACATCAAGCTCGATGATGAAGGTAAGGCAATGATGTTACGTATAAAATCCAATAGTTGTAGATAAGCCATTACGGAAAATTCAACACATCAGCCATTGCGGAAAATTCCTCAATGTTGTCGTCTTCCTTAGGAGTCTAGGATGTGTCTCCATCTCAGTGTAGTTGGTCACACTCTTTGACTAGCTGATAATTATTGTCTTAGTAATGTATTGCCTCACTGAAAAGATCAAGAGCTAACTACTAAGACTTGATCAATCCCATCATTGATTGGAGATATTAGTAAGTTTGATCCCAATCCCTTTAATGTTAGGCATAATGAATAGCTATCAGAAGCTTAATGCTACTACTACAAAAAAATAAGACAAATTTGACCAATTGCTCTAGAAATCGTATAAAATCATCATATCTTAAGGTTAGTTCAAGGTGTCGTGTCTCGATCCCAGTGTTGATGATTGTGTAGTTGGCATTATAGAACACTTGTGAGAAACTTTGAAAAGATTGCTAAGCATCTGACTGACCTATTGAAGAAAGGATGGACAGAGCAGGTAAGGACCAATTAAGATAGACTTTGTAGGGAACCCCAAAATTAGTAATACTTCTCTTACTTTAATCGAGATTGAGATCTTACATTTGATTTGTTCAATCAAGTCTTGTTAAAGCATTCCTCTAGTGGAGCTACTACTACCGGTCAAAACTCTCACTGATAAGGCGTAACATTAACGGAGTGTTTGTTTTTGATTTTTTGATTCTACGGTAAATCAATTCTCATTTTCAATCACACATTTTTCAATAAAATAATATTTTCCATCACATCAATAATTTTTTATTCTTTTTCAACCACACATTTCCCATCATATCACTATTCAAAAATCAATTATTCCTCACTGAAGAGATCTTGAGTCATGGCATGCTTAACGAGATGCCAATAGTTCTCTAGCTCTGCTTTATTATCTTTTGTCTTAGGTTACCTATTAGCTAAAGGTTATCGGCAACTCCCGACTACGCAATGTTGACCCTTGCTTCTTTGGTCTTGCTTGTAGCATATGTTTACGGAGAAGCCTGAAATCTTTCAACTTGTGAATAATTATCATGACTCTATCTATTCATTAAAAAATGAGTTCTACATAAA